TACGATATTGTATATAATCAATTGATTGATCATTGACTTCATATTCTCTTTTTACTTCATTTTCAAGATATTCATTTATTAATTCATCATCGATTGATTCAACAATTTCTATATCATTATGTTGATTTACTAATTGAAATTTTTCATTAAGTATTGACCAAAAATATGTATGGCCAATATATTCAATAGCTTTATTACCATATGAACCAAGTAATTCAGTACATATTGACCATAATGGTGTAAAATTTGAACAAAGTATACCAAGAAGATAATACATTGCTAAATGAAATGATGATGTATTTTTATTTAATAAAATAAATTCAACAGATAATTTTTGTAAATGAATTATTTTTGCACGAAATTCATAAACATTTAATGGACATTCTTCGCATAAAAGACAAGTTAATATAACATTATTTTTTTCATTTTTATCCTCAATAAATGAAGAAAGTATACGAAGTGTTAATAAACGTATATTTGAATTAAATGATGATAAATTTGTTTTTAATAATTCAATAAATTTATCTGAATAATCATTTGTTGGAGACATTAATAGAAATGAAATACGTATAGTAAGAAGATAGAGTTCTAAATGAGAATTTCCTTTAAGAATTGTATACCAAAATGATGTTGTAAACGTAATATCATGTGATATGAATTCAATAATTGTTAACGCAATTATTGATGATGATGATAAACAATTTTCCATAAGTTGTGAAATTTTAGCTACATGTCCAACTGTAAGTTTACCTTCATTTGTATCTTTATCGGATAATGAATTATGAAGAATTAATGCTCTCCAAAGTTGTCCAGATGTCTAAATAAAGAATTATTCATTGTTATTAATCCTATCATGCATGATTCTAATCTATTTTTATATGACAAAATGATCTGTAAGTAGATCGGAATGAATCTCAAATGTTTGAACCTAGATTTTCATTATACTTTTGATAGTTTTCAAAGAAATTTTGTCTATCTTAGTCTTAGAAAGTCCTATCGAACATATTTCAATACGTATTTAAAGGGAGTTTATTTGAGGTTATAGTTTTAATTTGTCAGCCAAAAAAGGTACGGAAATGCATTATATCTTGAAATATAGATCTGAAGTCTCTCTATCTAAATCAACAATTAAATTTAATGTTTCTCAAAGACGATTAATTTTACAATGATTTCATCTTAAATAATATCAAGTGGGATGAAGACGAGGTCCACGCTCTCACTCTTTTTTCATTAATATTTCTATTATTCACCGTTCCCAGTAGTGTTTTATCCAGGTGAGCGCCGCTCACTCAGCCCATCCGCTATATAAAATACTAATTTCTAGGAGGAATCCTTTTGAGTAATGAAAACGGTAGGTTCCCTTGACTCTCATTGAAACTGATAATTTTTTAGTATCTAATTTAAAAAATAATTGAAATATTTACCAAAACTTGTATATCATCAATTTTTGATAAAGTATTTTGAATAAATATTTGAATAATGTGTAAACCTTGTTCAGTTATTTTATCTTTTGTTAAAAATTTCTTTTT